TAGCAATATGGGTGTCCTTCCTAGCTAAAGTCGACGTCCTGGACGCGTTGGCGCAGGCCGTTTCGTCATCCGAGGTTGTCCGGACGAGTTCGCCGACGGGCGAGTCGATTTTTGTTAAAATCGTGTGTGGTGCAGTGAGTGCGTGAAATGCGGCGTTCGCGAGTAATTGAGTCACAAAGGGTTCACCTATGGCCGTCTGATTCTATGGGAACTCATTTTTGGGCCCTCTACATGTTGATCCTTAGCCCTTGCAACTAGAAGTTGAGTGCTTAGAACCACTCATGCGAGTTCTTCACAAAAATGAGTCAAGAAGTGGCTTGAAGTTCTATGGGAGGTGGGCTCCATTGCTAGTCCGCTAGGATAGTCAACAAGGAACTCCTAAGGCTAGATTATCGGTTCTAAGAGTAGGAGACTAAGACCTCACTAAAAATGAGGTCAACAAGGGGTTGTGTTAGTTTGATCATCAGCCTTTAATTTTTTTGAATTTTCAAAAGATGAGGAACATTGACACACTAGGTGGTTGAGTTTTTAACAAAATATTTGTCTTTAAACACTGTGTTGGATCTTATAAAACACACGTTTACAAGTATAATATCTATCATTTTACATGCAATGCAAGTTAATGTAGTTGATATTAATTCTATAAAGAGTAATATGCCATTGGTTAGGATTTTGAAGAGTTTTATTACAAAAACTTAAATAATAGTTTATCTTTTCTTAATGAAGGCTATGTGATTAAAGATGATTTTTTTGTTAATGGATACTTTTCTTTGTATTCTTTATTTATTATTATGGGATGTTATGATTTTAAAATTCCAAACTAAATGAGTTGCTAGGCATTTCGGAAGAGTTAACTGTTGCAATAATTGAGGGTCGGTGTTTTTGGCTAAGTTTGGACAGAGTTGTAGCCCAAATATTTTCCCAATTCAGGACTTATCATCCTCTTGATGGTAGAAAATTGAATAAAGGGTTGTCTACATCTCTATCAATTCTATATAAGCCTTGTGAGGATGTTGGTATAATTTTGTGTCAAGTTTATCACAAATGCTGAGAACACGTTGATTCATTTATTTAAGTAATAGTTGTTTCTCAAATATTTCACATTTCATGCAATGCAACAAAACTATTTTTGCATCTCAGTGTTAAAGTTTACAATATTAAAGCAACAAAATAAAATGCTTTATCTAAACTAATTATTGTTGATAGAGATGTGTGAAATTCATTAGTTGCGAAAAATTCTTTATAAGAAATTGAGCAAAACACAATTTGAGTTTTCAATTACTTATCGTCTATAAATTGATGGTCAATTTGAAGTGGTTAATAGTTTAGGATATCTACTACATTATTTGATGAAAATTATGTATCTGGGTGTAATTTGATAATACTTATATTGAGTTTGCATATAATTCATCTGCTAATAAATCTATTAGCATGAGTTCATTTAAGATTGTTATAGGGTATCAAATTCGGTGATAGCTCTTGTTGAACTCTACAAAATCTTGGCTTAATGCTTTCACAAAATCATTGAGAAATGTATTTTATTTTCCAGCGTCAATTTACTATATTTGGTTGACATAATTTTAGCCTTGATTTGGTTTTGGTGATCAACAAGAGTAGGGGTATACAAAGAGTGGCTTGATGCCTGTGGTAGAATGGCTTGATTTTTCTTTACTTCCGTAATTTTGCTCTTGGCATTGGTTAGTTTAGTGACCTTGATAAATATAATTTTTTGAAAATTATTTCTTTTACTTGTTTGGGACCGACTAGTTAACTGTCTTCTACTTTTTTTTTGGCCTACAAGTATGCTGATCAATCAATAAAGCACCTGTTAGCAATTTTGAGAAGGCAATCGATTCTTCTTGTATTTTATTGTCTCAAAGTGCACTTGTAAAACTGTGCCATTGCATCAATCATTACCTTTTTTTTTGTTTGAGCAGACCCTAGTTAGGTGAATTTGATCTGTCTTCTGACCTTTTGCAAAAACTTTATGGAACTTTTCGATTTATTATGGTTTGCTGATGGACTGTTTTTGTTTTCCTTTTGAAGAATGTTATTATTTATTATTAACTCTTTCTCTTTCACCTAGCCTCTTTGCATGTGAATATTTGTCTTGAGTTTGAAGCATAGAAGATTGTAGCGACTAAGCCACACTCCCCACATGGTGGCTAATGATTGAAAGTTGCTGTCATTATGCTTTTCTTCAATTAATACACAAATGGAGAAGTTCCTTTAAGCTTGTCGGGATCAGTTTCCATGCAATGATCTTTAGAATGAGCGATGGTGATGTAATATTAAATCTGACCTTAAATATTTGGATGACTTTGCCTGACAATGAACTTTTACTTTTTGTTGATGATGCTTTGCCATTCCGTGTAATTACTCTCTCTCTCTCCCTCTCTCTCTCTCTCTCTCTCTGTCTGCTGCCTTCAAGTCTGTTAATATTTTAGAAGGTAGGCTTACTTTTTTATGAGTAACAAATTGGCAGCTTGAGTAACCCTCAAAGCATGTGATGGTAATATACGCTGTTGAAATTAGGTATATTATGAAATGCTTTTTGTTGTTCACTACACCATGCTCTAGTTTTTTTGGCCTATAATTTTTTATCTTACAAATATTTATTGGTTTCATTCAGTCTTAAAAACCTCTTCCATCTTTTTATTTTAGGGTGTCTAATATGCATTGTGGTCTAACTCAGGTCAGCATATTGCGATGCTAATTTGCCTCCAGAAGGCTTAAGAGAGTTTTTGCCACGCTTGATTCCAGTATGCTGTATATTCTCTTTTATTATTTTTTTCAACTGCCTAGAATTTGGTGGTGGCCATGCTTTTATTTGTTATATTTTCTAGGTTTTATTGTCAAATATGGTGTATGCTGATGATGATGAGTCGCTTGTGGATGCTGAGGTATACTTCAATTTTTTTCATGAAGCCTTTAATGTTTCTCTTGCATTTGAATCTTGCAAAGTGCTTTTTAATTGTGATTTTGCTGCATTTGTTACAGGATGATGAGTCCATCCCTGATAGAGATCAGGTAGCTTTATATGTGAAGCCTCATTTTTGGAAAATCTTTTAAAGCTTTCTGTTGAATTGTTTTTTTTTTCATGTTTTTACTAGTTTTCCATTGTTAATTTTTGGAATTCGTCATACAGGATTTGAAGCCTCGTTTTCATTCGTCAAGACTTCATGGAACTGAAAATGGGGAAGATCCTGTATATTCAAATTTTCTAATCATTTCTTATTTATTGGCTTGTAATGCATTTTTTATTTGTTCTTCTGCTTATCAACATATACCTTGACCCCCTCCCTGAAAACATTAACTATGAACTTATCCCTTTCTGTTTTAAGTTTTTTGGAAATCAGCTTTTACTATTTTGATGGTTTCTTGGCTGCTCTATTACAGGATGATGACATAGTCAATGTATGGAATCTACGGAAGTGCAGTGCAGCAGGTTTAGACGTTCTTTCAAATGTATTTGGTGATGAGTTACTTCCCACTCTAATGCCGTTGATTCAGGCATTTCCTTTTAAACTCGGGTCAACAATAGTCACAATATCAGCTAATAGCTTTTAGAATTATTTTGTCATTTGTTTTATTTTCTAATGCCGAGTAGATTCTACTTATTCATTGTTATGATATTGTGAATGCTGCTTATGTGATTTATCTGTAGCATTAATAGTACATTGCCATTGCTCATTCTACAGTTTTTGCTGTGCTTGATTAAATCTGCCTATGAATTTCATTAAAATTATTAGTGGACTTAGAATGCAACGTAATGGAAGAAGTGCGAAAGGAGTTGATGGGAGCCAGGACAAGTGTTGGTGCTGATTCATTTATTTTAAAACGTTTAAATGTGCCCTCCACATTTTGCTTTCTTTTGCAGGAATAAATGCATAGCATGTGTTCATTTATTTCTATGTGGACAAGCTTTCAGCCATCCCCTTATGTTCTTATTTTCACGAGTCATCACATGAATTCATATAATTTTAACATGAAGCACACTTTGAATAGACACACTATGCAGCTGTCCTAAACACTGCATTCCTTTGAACTGGCTTACTCTATTGTTCTTGTAATATAACTTATCTGGATTAATGACTTTGGTGGTTATACCGAGCCACTGTTGCTTGCGGCTTCTAGGAAGATTTTCATGTGTGTGAAGGTTGTTGATTGGAAATTAATGTTAAAGTTCGCTGTAATTATCTCGTAATGCTCTTTATAATATTTAACTTCTCTAAGAGTGGGATGCTTTTTTAAAATCTTCTTATGATGAATGGTTGTTATTTTGTTGTTTTTGGTAGGCTAAAATGTTGCTGTAGCACATTGAAATAATTTTCAGGTGTTGGGATGGAAAAATAGCTGCATTTCTTTTTAATTTGGCCCATTAAAACCTGCCCGACTTTGCATGCATTCTTTGTCATTTTTTATAACTAATTTTCTTCTGATCAAGGTGTTCCTACTATTTGCAACAGTGCACAGAATTATCTATGAAATCATGTTGCTTTATTATACCAACTTGTATTCAAGGTTTAAGTGTTAGTTTCAGCTTTGGATCCTTATTTCTGGATTCTGCTACATCGTTAGTATTCATCATCATCATCACTATCATCGTAGGTGGCTTAATCCATCTTGGGCAAACAGTTCCCTTCAGAGTTTTGTTCTTTTCTGATTCCTACTTTACGGAATATGTTCTGAACATCTTCTAATCATGTTAGATTTCGTCTATCCACTTTCCAGTCAAATTCTCAGCCTGATTTGAGCTCTCTGAATTGTTGATCTTTTTTACATCTCTATTTTTGTGATATCATGGCCGGTTTTGGTGTCTAGTTCTGCGTTTGTTTGGATTTTAATTTTGTACAAATTTCAGCTTTCTAGAAAGAAATATTTTACCTTTATCTATAATTTTTTTGAAGTTTATAATTTGATAGATATAACCATTTCAGCAAAGCTTCAGAATAATATTCAAATTTTTTTTTTTAAATAAATAGAGGTTTTTGATAAGACTAAAAGAAAACGAATGCTGAAGTAATATTTTCCTAATGCGTGTATTCCTTACTTTGATTGAATAATTTTATGATATACTGTTCTTTGAGTCAAAATACATTGTCCTTGTTTGCAATTATACATTTTAAGAGATTAAGGAATATTATTATGATTGGGTTCTTCCCGGAGAATACCTTGATATACAAATTTGGGTATTGCCTTTAACTTCTGTCATGGAATACGATTAAATAATAAATGCCTATAAAAAGAAATTGTTATTTTTGCAAGTTTTTTTTCCCTTTATGTTTCTTTTCATTCTCCATGCAGGGTAAATGTTCTGCTGCTTTGATGTTGTATTTGTTTTAGAATTTTCATCGTCTTTTAGATTGCAAGGTCTCTACCTGTATGTTTCTTGTGTTATTTAATCCGCTTAAAACCTTTTCAGGAAAGGCTTTCAACCCCTAACCACTCAGAGTGGAAGGAGAGGGAGGCTGCTGTTTTGGCCATTGGTGCTATTGCAGAGGGTTGTTTTAATGGGCTCTACCCCCTTCTACCTGAGGTACTCTTCGACACTTTCTTAATCAATGCAAGTGATTAGGTACTCAAGTATCAAGCAAACATATTCCGAACATCAAGAAAAAAATACAATAACTGCTATTATCAAAATAAAATCAAGAAAAATTTGTGCTAATAACTACAAAGTGAAATGCAAGAAGCAGAACAAAACAAAGTAAGATGTTATTTAATTAAAGCACGCCCTTTTGTGACTTCTTAGATGTGGAATGCTTTTTAAAACGAAACCTTTGGCATAAAACTTGGTCAAAATGGGTGAATTTTCTTTGCAAGTTCAAGTCTCCTTAAGTCAGCCGTTGTTAAAAAAAAAGTGAAAGAGTGAATTTTATGAGTTTTCAGTGCCTTTCAGGCCAAAAGTTGATCCTGTTTAGCATCTTATTTCATTTACTAATGTACTTGCAACATGAACCAATAAACTCCAGCCCAAATTGAGTAAAGTTAGTATCAAGTTATGTCAATAGGTTTGAGTAGACGAGTAACTTGATTGAATTTGATCATGTAATTATCTGCGTTGTACTAATTTAAAAGGTACTGAAAGAATAAACTTCACTGTGAGTAACTTCATTTTTTTTGAAAATTGTTGGAAAGATGTTTGGAAAGAGTGCATGAATAAGCTTCAAATCATAATGACAAGCAATAAAAGTTTTTTCCCTTTGTCAATATGCATCTCAATTTTCATGAAAAAATGTTTGGTTAATTTCCATGAAAAAGAGAAATTAATTAGAATTTAATTAAAATGATCAGCAGAGTAATAGTAAGATAAAAGGATGAAAACTGTGGATAAGAAAATTCAAGAACATTACAAAACTGAAGTCTCATGGAAAACAGTTTTATAACTGAGGCATTTCATGTTCTGGCTAATACTATGCGCTTCACATTGCCTCCCTTATCAAGTGTGCCATTTAAAGAACACTGCAAAACTTCTTACTATTTGTGATTGGAATCATATGGCTTTTCTCTTTTTTTTTTTTTTGCACCTTGCACCTTTTGTTTCTGATACGTTCTGATACGTTCTTTTATCCAGTTTCTTGAAACTTTTGTAAATAAGTTATTTATGTTAGTCCCGAGCTGATAATTTACTGGGCTCCATAGCCTCTTCTTCTTTGAATATTAAGCTGCATGATTGGTAGTTTATCCTAGTTTTTTAGCCATGGATTGCTCATTTCCAAAGCAGGAGAGTAAAAAGTGATTGAGAAAGGCTAAAGGAGGATGCTTTCTTCCTTCTCTATTGTGCTCACACCGCCACCGCAATTGTAACAAAAGTTATAGATTGTATATAGAGTCTCTTACTCGTTGGTCTATGGAAAATTGAGTGTTATAACTTAGCTGATAAAAACGTAATTGTTGATTTAACTGAAAACATAAGGGTTGGTTGCAGGGTGAAGTTAGGGCTATATTTAGTCTTTGATAAAATGAATTAAGTGTTCTTCTTTATTACTTTTGGATCCAATGATAGAGTGAGGAAAATGAAACCATACCATGAACATTAGACTGTAGACATGATCAGCAGCATCAATCCTAGTCCTAAAGACATTAGAAAACTATTCCTTTGCACCTGGGTTTTGTGCGAGCCATGCTTTAGTTTCATTAACCATGCCAATTTAATTTTTATGGCTGAAATACCTGATGTAAATTGTAATCTCATTAGTAAATTAGTGAGCTGAAGTGGTTCCACTGTTTTCTCTTTTAATGCTGCTTATCATAGCTATTTTATTGTTAATTATTTCTGAAATAGAGCCAAAAAGACATTTGTTGTGTACTGTATTTTTTTGAAGAATGTAATGTATTTGTCAACGTTGATGCTGTTTATATTATGAATTACAGATTGTTACATTCCTTTTACCTCTACTGGAGGACAAGTTTCCCCTAATACGGAGTATCACCTGCTGGACAATTTCTCGTTTTAGCAAATTTATTGTTCAGGTAATATTGTTTGCGCTTGATTGTTTTAACTGTTATAACCTATTAAGTGTATTAACTTATCTTAGTACGTGGGATATAAAGGATATTTCTTGCTTTCCAATTTCACCAAGGAACTTTTTGTTAATGCATTTGGTTGTCTTTGAATGGATTCATATGATTGGAATACTTCTTGACTAGAGAAACCTTGTTATCTTTCATTTTCATGTAATTTTGAGTAGATCACCGTGGAAATTCATTAGACTCATTTACAAGTGCAACAATTTGCATTGGCCTGGTGCTAGTATACAATATGCGTGGAAACCTGTGGATGGTCTGGTGCATGTGCATTTGAACATGTTTCTGATCTGGCTATTTTTCTGCAAGTTGGATGAGGTGTTTAATGTACAACACTGGGTATCCTGTTAATTAAATTTTAAAAAGGAAGTTGGATCAGTTGAGATTTGGGCTGAATTTGAATGGGGAGCTTGTCTATTTCTGCAAACATCTCTGCTTATCCATTATAGGTAGTGGAAATATTGTAATATCTTGACAAATCAATCTTGTATGCATTATCATTGATTTTCTTAAAAATTCTGAATGAATCATTGACTTTAGGCTTGAGCTTCTCAAATAAACTTGGTAGGAAATCTTTCATTCTTTAGTCTAATCCCAAACCACCTTTTTCGAAGATCATAGTCTTCCTAGAATTGTTAGTATGCTTCTGATACTTGTTATGTTGATAATTTTCTTTCTTACTTCTTATTTAAAATTGAAATATCTCTGACCCTGACATTTGTATTAGTATTAGGCTTAGGAGTTGATAGTATCAACATTAACTCCAATGGTGCGAGGGGATTCCACCCGCACATGATCTCAAATGGGCTGTGACCTATGGACTGACTAGTGAACCTTTTATATACAAACTCAATATGATGAAGAATCATATTCTTATGCTTGATATTCTTTCTCACCAAACACTGAGGTGATTTTGAAATTGCGATTGACCACCTTTGTGTGTCCATCTATTTATGGGTGTGCTGGTGAATGGAATTTGAGCTTTTTGCAAACCTTATAAGATCTTCCAAAAGTGACTCAGAAATTGCATATTGTTGGCCGACGTGATTGTCTGCGTTACACAAAAAAAAATGGACTATCTAAAATTTGAATCCACGACATGTGAAACATCCTTCTTTTTTCTGGCAAGATATGAAATGTGCCATCTTAGAGAGGTAGTTCACTACCCCAATACCTAAATCCTTGCTCTGTTGCATCCATGGGAGACCTATAATGAAGTTTAGGCTCACATCCATCCAAGGTAAATTTGGATAGGAAGGGGGAATGCACAAACCCGTATTTTGCACTCAGGTTTTGGCTAAGTGACATACCTTAAATTGTCGAACATGCCTCTTCATATCTCGTCTCAACCTAGGCGAATTGAAGCTCTCTTTTACTAAGGAAAGAGGCTTATCCTTTCCAAAATGTTTTGTCGTTTCTCCATTGTGGCCCTCCTTCAAAATATTTTCCCTGGGTGAAGTCTTAGGAATGCATAGCCTATTTCGATAAAATAAATAGTTATCTAAAATGTGAAACTGCTTGTACAGTCTCTCTTGACATTGAATCCAACCCTTTTGGAAATCATCTTTAGTGGCATATGCATCTCTTAATACCTCAAGCCTACATAGTTGTAATCAATAAACGACGAGAGCTCAATGTATTTGCTATTTTGTTATGACTCTCAGTTTTGTGCTTATACACCAATTGGAATGAGGATAGAAACTCTACCCAAGAGCATGTTTACCCTTCAACTTGCTCTAAATATTCAAAAACCTCAAGACCTCATGATCGTTTTAAGGAGTTTACGATCGTATAAAACTCTTTGACATATATATAGAGTACTTTCTTTTGGAATCATTCAACTTTTCGCTAAAGGAGGCAATGTGGTGTATACCTTGACTTAGCACAACTCTATTCCTCACATTGGATGCTTCACACTACCTCAAACACTTGATTGAAAATTGAAATTATTAGACTGGTTTGAATTTTATTTTGGGATTTATGTTAGGCTGAGATTTCTACTCAGATTTCTCTTTTGAAGTGCTATAATCTTGCTCTTACAGGTGGTGTATCTATACCTTGTTAAAGTGCAGGTGATGGTACCTTCCTACATTGGCGCTTGCATCGATTTCGCCGCTGGATGCTATTCTTTTCTTCCTTTACACGAGACAGCAGCTGATGTCTATTTTTTCTTCTTCGTCTCTTTGCTGAGTCACATACTCTTTATAAATTGGGAATCTTACACTACAAAAGCTACCGACTTTTGACCTCATTTTTGTGAGGTATTCTCTTCTCCTCCTTATAGCCTAGGATCTAGTTCTAGGAGTTCTTATTGATCGTCTTAGAAAATTAGAATTCATACCCAGACTCTTAGAAAATCCTAGCCAATTCTTATTTTCCTTTGATGTCTAGCATTTTTGGCACAAGACCATCGTCTTATGAACGAGCGGTTATGGGTTATTTTGTGAAGACTCAAGAGAGAAGTTTCTAATAGGACTTCAAGCCTTAGGAAAAACATCGTCACGACTTTCTTGTCACATACACACACCAAATACACAAAGTTCACAAAATTACACGAAATCGGACTTCAATTAAGCCCAGAGGAGGGGTCAAAATGCGAACTTCTCCGGACGACCTTCGACAACAAATTGGATTGCGCCAACGCGTCCGGGACACCAATTTTGGTAGGAAAAGACACCCATATTGTCATATTTTTGACACAAGAAAATTGGCACGCAAATCGATGAATTCTTCAAAACGATTTCCAACGGCAAAATGGACTGCGCCAGCGCGTCTGGAACGTCAGAATTACCTCGATAACAAATTGGATTGCGCCAACGCGTCCGGGACACCAATTTTGGTAGGAAAAGACACCCATATTGTCATATTTTTGACACAAGAAAATTGGCACGCAAATCGATGAATTCTTCAAAACGATTTCCAACGGCAAAATGGACTGCGCCAGCGCGTCTGGAACGTCAGAATTACCCAAAATTGACATTCATTTTATGATGATGTGACACACTAATAAAAATGCACAAATCAAATTTTACTTTTTGAAATAATTAATATTTTCATATTTATATTATTAATAATCTTAATTATATACCCTAAATCGTATATTAATACGTTCAATTGCCCATTTATCTATCGCGGCTTGATCGAAGCTCGGCTCGCCGCTCCCGCATCTCCTCTGTCATTCGCGAAGAAGCCCTAGCTCCCCCATCGGCCGCATCGAAGCCGATTGAGCGGCGCCATGGCTCCCCTCGCCCCC